CAGTCAGTCAGTCAGTCAGTCAGTCAGTCAGTCAGTCAGTCAGTCAGTCAGTCAGTCAGTCAGTCAGTCAGTCAGTCAGTCAGTCAGTCAGTCAGTCAGTCAGTCAGTCAGTCAGTCAGTCAGTCAGTCAGTCAGTCAGTCAGTCAGTCAGTCAGTCAGTCAGTCAGTCAGTCAGTCAGTCAGTCAGTCAGTCAGTCAGTCAGTCAGTCAGTCAGTCAGTCAGTCAGTCAGTCAGTCAGTCAGTCAGTCAGTCAGTCAGTCAGTCAGTCAGTCAGTCAGTCAGTCAGTCAGTCAGTCAGTCAGTCAGTCAGTCAGTCAGTCAGTCAGTGAGTCAGTCAGTCAGTCAGTCAGTGGCTTACATATCTCGCCCCGCAAAAAATAGCGTTTGAATGCTATATCCATTCTATATCGAAATGCCAAAGGAGACAATTCAGATAAATCGGAGCGCGACAAAGATAGCTTTCCATGGCTCCGAGTTTGGCGGCTGCTGACCAGCCGATCCGCTGCGGCCGCGGCCCGGCCCCCCAGCAGAGGGCACGGAGGAGGGCGGGGCCGCCCAGGTCGGGCCGTTCCACCGGCGGAGGTGCCAGCCCCCACAGCGGGCCATGTCGGCAGCCCCCATATACACATATACACAGCCCCCATACTTCTTGCATTGTCGATAGTATACCATCTCAAAGCTATACACAACAACAAGTGTGTACTCCAAACATAACGGCGTTCTTGTGCTTGCATTCCTATGCCGTACGGACTGCCCTGCGAATCAAACAGGGAGCAAGTGGCTGCACCGGGGCCGAGCCCCTTTTCGGCTTTGGAAAGCCGGCCCCCTAGTTTCATTAGACTGCGTGAAGGTTAACGAACTGAGTATGCGACCAACACATACAACATCGCCTGGCAATTGCAATATTTCATGCGATTTATCATGTGTGTTAGGTTAGGCCGCATTAAGCTTGACGCAATCAGCCGCCATACGCATGAAACGCAACATGTATTTGCATGCGAATACTGGTCTGGGTTGACACTACTGCGATTTGCGGTTAAAGGTCCTGGGTTCGATTCCTGGGGAGACCCCCGAATTAGTCGGGAGCGCGAGATTATGGCAAGCTGCTGAGATGTGGAGTTGAGGTCGCAGTTGATGGACCAGATTCGCACGCTAGATTGGTGGCGGTTGCCGAACCCTCCGTCTCTTCGGTTGTTCGGGTGAATGGATGAGGAGGGGTCCTAGACGGCTGGACCCGCCGCCTTGGACTTGCAGTTCGTATGGCGAAGTATAGTGTGGTAGTGGTGGACGGTGCTATAAGATGATAAATCGTAGAACTGACAATGTGATAAAGCGGCCCAGAAGCCTCCCACTCTGTAACATTACATTACACTCTGTAACATTACATTCGCATGCGAATAACCTTGCGGACCGTGTGCGTTTGATGTGCGTTTGGACGCGTATTGCTATACGCATTGTCTCCCCACACGCATGAATCGCAATCGCACTGAGGGACCTTAGAGAACGCCTGGCAGCCCAAGGTGACAGGTGGATTGCGCGGTGCCCATCTCACCTTTTTATTTGGGACAAAGCGGAGGTCGACAGCAACATTACCACTGCGGGCCATGGTACAAGGACTTCACCGCCTGGTAGGCATCAACTTCCGAAGGTGGTGGCGGCAAGGGCAGCAACGGTGGCAGCGGCGGCGGCACCAGATGGTGGTGAAGGGCGTCCACATCCAGCGGCACCCACTTTTCGAGGGCGGAGCCAACCTCAGGCAGCGGCAGAAGCTGTGGCGGCAGCGGCAGAAGCAGTGCCAGGGGCTACAGGGTGTGTACTGCTGCCGACGTCAGCTGGTGGAAGGCGAGGCAGACCTCCGGCTGCAACAGCAGCGGCTGCAGCAGCAGCAGTGCCAGGGGTTGCAGGGCATGCGATGCTAGCTGTACCTGTGCCTCCACGGCAAATCAGTTCTCCTGCGGCGGCAGCACCTGGGTCTGTGCGGATTCAACCAGCAGTGGCACACATTGCTGGGGGCCCGAGCAAACCTCCGATGGCAGCGGCGACTGCGTCGCCAGCAGTGCCTGAACAGGCTCTTCGGCGTTCTGCTCACCAAGCAGCAGCAGCAGCAGCAGCAGCAGCAGCAGCAGCAGAAGCGGCAGCAGCGGCAGCAGTAACGGGAGTGGCAATGGCAGCGGCACCTATCACACAACCCAGCACCCACTCAGGAGACACAACTGATATTATGGACCCCACAGCAGCTCGCAAGAGGCGTCAGGCCAGAGCTGGAGAGGGAAACCCTAAGCGTCGTAAGCTGTGCATCATGGAAGAAGAAGAAGATGATGACGATGATGATGATGATGATGGCAAGTATGAGGATGTGGCGCGCGTGGACGGCAACGGAAGTCACGGTGGTAACGAACGACGTGAAGCCGATGTGCCTACTGATCGGCAAAGGAACGATGATGACGGCTACAGGGTTGAGTAGCACGCTCGCCTTCACGATGAGCATCCTGACCACAGCGAGGCGTCGGGATCTGCTGCCCTGCCCCGAGATTCGGACACCCAAGTTGCACGTTCTCCTTTGGAGGACTTGTTGGAAGGCTAGTTTTCATGTGGAAAATCGTTGCCCATTGTTTGGACTGGAAACAGCAGTATTCCGGGAGGCTGCCTTTGCTGTAAACAGGAAGCTGCTGTGCATCCTGACAGGGCCTTACTTGAAATGCCTCTGTCAAACATTGACATGTTTCTCTCATTACTGGACAGGTGGACGAGGTGCATCACTGAACGTAACGACCGAGCACTACCTCAGCATGATCACGAGAGCTGCCAAAGATGGCCAGTTTGGCCCGACACACATTCCCCCCAGAGCTCAACCACGAGCTTATGAACCTTGGATCAGTGAACACCATGATGGTGTCATTGGACGCGACGCAGGAGGATGGCCTGTACTCGGCCTTTGTACGCACGCTGTCCAAGATTCTGGACACCCTCTGCACCACCGACCCCGTAACGTAAGCGTGACAAGAATGTGAAGTTTTTCCTTTGCAAGGACAGCGACAACCCGGATGCATGTGTGGTGCCGGTGACCTATGTCGTACAGTGTCCTACTTTGGGTACCCTTCTAAGGGAAGGCTAGGAGCTGAACAGATGGCATGCCAGACCGCTATATGAACGACACGATGAAGGAAATTCTTCAGATTCCCAAGCAGCGGCAGGCAAACCTTCCCAAGCGCCTGGTGGTCACTATCCTGTTACGGCTGTTCGCCGTGTTGCTACCTCAGATTGCCTTTTTTGTTCCCCCCGCCTGCACCACCCTCTGGCTTGGTGCACTTGCTTTTTCTTTACGTGTCTATCTCGTAATCCACCGGGCCTGGACTGCCCGGTGGTTTGAGCTTAAAGTTTACGGCCGGCCACTGGTCCAAAATAAGTACGGGGTTTTTTGGGCGGGGCCCCAGCGCGAAGCGCCCAGGGTGGCCCCCGCCCTGTAGGATTGCCCATGTCCGTGTGGCCGTGTGTGTGGCCGTGTGTGTGTGGACCAACGGACCAAACATAATACCTCGCCCGGCTGAAACGCGTTATTGGTAATATATTGCATTCTCTATTGCAAGGTATTTCGCCTGTAGCCAACAGAAATCGTATGAGCACAAAGAAGTTTGGCTGCCTCACAAAGTCATATCAACGCCTCTCGGGCTAAATTTTATCTCAAAAAGTGTCGCGTATCTTATTATGGAATTCTGATTTGATGGCGTATGATAACTCGAACACCCAGCTTGCGTCACCATTTGCCCGCACGGGCATTCCGACTTGCCACCAGCAGGCCGACAAATTTGCTTTCATTTCTCTATGAAGTACGCAAGCTGCTCGTTTGTACAATAACTTTGGCCAATGCTCGGGGCCTCCGAAGGGTTGCAGTGTGCCGCGATGAAGCTCGCGCGCGAAGAAGCGCGCGGCTGTGGGGCGGATTGCTGAAGCCGCTGGCGCACTGACAAGCACAGCTCCCACCTCGTTCACAATACCGAACAATTGTCACACGTGCCGCCCTAGTTACCGGCCTGTACGGATGCAGGGGGGCCCCGCCCTTTTTCCGACTTCGAGGAAGCCAACACAGCTTGTCGAGTTAGGGTAGGGTCGAGCCGATCAGCGGGCAGATCGTATGGCTGCTAAGCTGATCAGTGGGGCGGTGCAGGGAATTCGTTCTTGTTATCTGAATGGATGTTTTATCAGGTTTTGCCCGCGACCTGTTGGACGAAGTTATGTTGGGTTCGCTCCTGGTGATATCGCTGCGGGGGGGGGTAGTGTAAAGAAGTGTAATCAAGATGTACAAGCAGCGAAGGACAGCAGAAGTCTGGAATAAGGAACGGATTAAACGCAAATATTACCGATACTTATATTCCATGCGTGAAAGACAAAAACGACTAGGATAGAAGATACTGCTGACCATTTAAGGCAATTGACTATCAATACGAAGGTTTAAGACCGCAATGTTGTCGAAATTTGTCGAGACGGCGAACGAAATTTGGTAATTGTTCCGAGTAGAAAATATATATCACCGAATCTGTGCCACTATTTCGGCAAGAACGCGGACATATATGGCATAGTGATCAAAGTTTAATCCGTGTAAAGCTCGTACACGGGCGTGCGACGGCCACAAACTCCGCCATATTACTAACTCCGCCATTCATAACCCGCGCGCTGGATGCTTCCATACGTCACGAATTATTACATCTGGAAGGAACTGGCTCCGGTTGGCGACTGGAGGAAGCTTTAGTTCCTAACTTGCCCGGTCCGCATAGCCCGACATCCGACGCTGGCTGAGAGACAAAGAAGGAAAGAATACTAAACTTACAAATAAATGTGTAGGGATGCCTTAAAATAGTCTGGCAAAGCCATGCACGACACAGAGTCGTACTGATCAAAGCCAAGCCATACCTACTTGGTAACGAACACAAATCCCTTACAACTCCTAATCCGTAATGAGTTATTAGTCCAGCTGGACTACTAACCTGCGGGCGCGGGTGGAATCACCCCCTAACAACATACGTCTTCACGAGTGTCACGAAGTGTTACGGTAGGAGGAACGCAGCCGTCCGCCCGCGGGCGTAACAAAGGTACGGCATATACCCGCAGAAAGCATCCGAAACGCTTTTGTAATACTTTTCGCATTTCATTTAAAGTACAATAATTGCACATTCAATTTTCCACGTTTTTGGGCAAACATCTACCACAGTCTTTGCCAACTTCCACCGCCGCACCGATCGAAAGAACGTGCTTTGGAGCTTATCGCAACCAGGTAAGTAAGATAACCCCATAGCGCAAAAATCATGAGTCAAATAACGCGGTTAAGAAATAAAAAATCATGAGTCAAATAACGCGGTTAAGAAATACTTCACGCAGCAGGACGGCTGAACTGCATCCGCGCTGCTTTCCTTTTTGCACGGCCGCGGCTCCTCTGGCCGATAACGTTCTTAGCAATTGCCATCTGTATGCATACAAGGCTTCCGTTCTTGCATATTGATTGCTGATGAGTGGTGAAGAAAAATATGATGAAACTAAAAACGGTGGGAGGTACTGCTGCTGCCGGGAATAATCCCATGATGAAGGGGAGTGTCTATCTCCGCTTATTTGGTGCTTTCTGAGCGAGCTGCGTTGCTGGCTTCACCTTGGCACCCGTTAGTTTCTTTTGTGGCCTATCTGTACAGTGCTTGGGTGCGAACAGCACAAGCTACCACCACCGGTCATCTGATCTCCATGCATACAGGGTGGAAGGTGAGACTGCCCCTAGTCGATGGACGGTGGTGACCTGAGATAAAGTGGGCCTGCGAGCTGACCAGGAATGGAGTTGAGCCGCCGTTGACCCGGCAGATTCCGTTGGATGCCGAACCTGAGGTGGGTGCTGAACCTGAGCGATCCACTGAATTCGGAGAAGTTGGCTAGGGTGACTGGATGAGGGTGCCCCAAAATACTGGGGATGGCAGGGTTTCGCCGGGTAGCAGCCACGGGTGAAGATATGGTCCCCCGTCCCACACATCATACATAACTCGATGATTTGCTTGAATAATTGCTGTATTGCATTGATTTCGGTTTCAACTCTGACAAGATAGAAATGCATATGCCGCTGCTGTGATTGCAGTATGGAAAGGCGCAAGGCCGCCAGCAGCTGCTGGGAAGGCGACTGGTACACATCCTCGGCGCTCATGGCACGTCTTCCACTTATGTTGGTGGCGGCGTTAATGATGGCAACCTGTGCAACTGGTGCGTGAACGGATTTCTGTTATATCGAAATGATACACAATGGCCATACGATAACGTGCGCTTTGCAAGGGGTACTTTTACACCGTCAATGGAATGTGCAGCGGTCCACTCCAAAGCTGTCCAGTGGAGCACTTCCCCCGCTATTCATTTGCCTTCGCTCAATGTCTGGTGTTACTAGTTGCGGGTTACGGTTGGAAAGAGTACCAGTAAGGTGCTTCCGCTTGTAGAGATGATGCATGAGTGATGTGTATGATGTGTAAGGGGCGTGTAGGTGTGGAACTTGCTTGCTTGTAGTGCCAACGATTGGGCACCTACCTGGCCTGCTGGAAGAGGTGCCTCTTTTTGTTCCTGTTAAAAAACACCTCCTATGTGCGCGTCCATTCATGCAGGCGATGACGATCTTCCTAACCTAGCCCTGCGTCAGGCAGTGTACGCATCATCAGTCTACTACCAGAGGGGGAACACTTACGACCCAGGTTACGCGGTGGATGGAGTCACGGAGTATCCGAGTCCCCTCGATAAATATAACGTCAGCTTATTTAGCTCGAAAATCTCGGATTCGACGCCTTGGATTTCTGTTGACCTGGGTGCCGTGGCACTTGTGAAGCGGGTTGTCATCATCAACCGACGTGATTGCTGTCAGGATCAACTGCGGAATGCAGAGCTGCGCATTGGGAATGTCAGCATTACTAATGCAGCAGGCGGGGGCGATACACGCAACATTACAGGAAACCCCCTGGTCTGGCAGCAAGATGCCGGTACCTATATCAATGCTTCAGCGACCATCCCCTTTGACACACCCAAGGTCGGACGATGGGTCACGTTACAAATTAAGCAACCTACCTTACATATCACGGAGATCCAAGTCTTTGGATATTACGCTGCCTCTGCAGGTGGGTGTGCACAGCGATGAATTGCATGTGCGTCTTTGTCATTGTAGGCCAGCAGCGCTTGTATATCCGATGCAGCTCACCAGGAAGGCGGCGGCCCCGGTGATAAGTGAGGTCCCAGATCCACTGGAATGGAGTGAGCAAAGCTCATGTATCAATAGGTATCCAACCAGGTATTGCAAATGAAAGAAACAACAGCGAAATGAGGGATGGGAATACGTGAAGAAAACAAAAATGGAAGCAAGGCTGCAACAAGGAATGTCATGGATGGGCCTGGTGCGGGCACACCACCCGCTGCACATGATAAGCTGCTGTACACATGAACACTTGCGACCATCCTTCTCCCATATTATCACCGTTTTTGCCGTATATCTGACACTAACTTACGTTCCCGCTGGAAAAGTAATTGATGATCGGCCAGTAGTGCTTGATCAATGCACTCCACAAGCATCTTAAGAGGACTTTTCAGAGACCAGCTGCTACAGCTTCCCGATGGAGCTGTAGTTAGATTTAAGTCTGCAAATGTATGGTCGTTTATAGATCGTGCCCTGCTGGTATATTTTACAGAGACCGTCCATTCTTTCATACGAGGGTGCAATCTATTATAGACGATCAAAGTTTTTACAGACGAATGCTGCGCATGTCCTCGGTATGTACACGTCATGCATCTTGCATGACGGAGGTCACCCTTTCCGGGTCCATACATGTTGCATCTGAGTGTCGCCCTGGACTCGTGAGTGAATGCATGCCTGGCTGCTCCAGGTCAGCAAGCATCTTATACAAAGGTTGGATAAGTATGCATGTAAGCAGGATACGTACTGCAATCTGCTACTCATGCGATTACCTGCTGTCACCTAATAAGCTTGCACTGTATACACATGTGCGTACCGATCGACTTGCAGTGTGCGCCAATGTGCTGCCTGGTACGACTTACGGTACGGAGGCCTCAACAATCACAATTCTCAAAATGCAATCGTCAGGGGACTGCTGCAGCGCATGCTCCGTTAACCCAGACTGCCGTTACTGGGTATTCAGGCGATGCAAGAACACCTGCACCCTCAAACGTGATGAGGGAGCAGGACCCGGCTTCTTCATTGATGAAAAAACTGTGGCGGGCGGGGTGAGACGTAAGTTGCAATCAAACGACCGCGGCCAAGTGAACTGTGGAAGGACGATATTGGGAACTCTTGGCACTAAATAGCTTTTGTCGCACTACGGTTGGTTCGTTGTTTGCATCATTAATCATCACTTCTTGTTCGCTAACGCAAGCCCGATGGAATCATCTTATCAGGTCACCTGCAATCATCACTTCTATCTTTCAAACTGTAATTATGGAAACACGCACCCCGCTGCTGCCTATCGCACATCTGTCGTGTCGCAGCTGTGGCCCTCTTCGGTACCCCCAGAGTGGCCATCTGGCGCTACAAGTCCTTTGTTGACCCAGAAGCGCAATGGATCTGGTCACGTGGCAGCGCAGCACAGTTTCTCGATGGCGTCCCCGAAAACCCCCCAACTACTTTTAGCTACGTCTACAGGGCTGCAAGTGCGGTGACTGCCAATATATCTGTTGGCACAAACAGTAACGCCTGGATTTACATCAACGGCATGCAGATGAATACCAGCATAGATTATTTTGGCATTTTTATCTCGTCGTTGTCAGTGACCCTGCAGAAAGGGCCCAACCTCATCCAAATTCTGGTCCAGAACACTTTTGATGGCAGTTCTGCGGGTGTCGTCATGTCGTTTCGAAACTCAAGTGGGCGGGTGCTGGCCCGTTCCAATGCGTCCTGGGTATGGTCCGAGAGAGCCATCATAGAAGGTACGTACATCTGTGCGTGCGGCTGGATTCTGTTCATGCAGCGACCATCCCACACGATGTATTGTATCTTCCCACAGATCGTGTTTGTGTACAGCCGCAGCAGTTTAATTGCCTGGCATAGAGTCGCCGCGTAACGTGTGAATGTATAATAATAATAAAGTGTTCATAATGTATTCTAATGCCATACATACATACTATACATGCCATACATACTATAAAACTCAGGTTAGGCACTACTGGTAGAGCACGCACCAATGTCCCCGGGAGATCCCGATATCGAGACCTGTCCGGGTCCAAAAACCCCTCCGATGGTGGGAGGTATGGTGCCCTTAGTCGGTGGACGGTGATGACCTGAGATAAAGTTAACCTGCGATCTGATCAGGAATGGAGTTAATCCGGCAGATTCCGTTGAATGCCGGTGGTGGGTGCAGAACCTGAGCGATCGATCGATCGATCGATATCCAACGAGAAGATTACTAGGGGGTGACTCGATGAGGGTGCCCCGAAATACCGGGGAAGGCAGGGTCTGCCGGGTAGCGGCCGCAGGGTGAAGAAATGACCCCCTTGTCCCACACATCATACTATACTAAATGTACTTGTCTATTTGCAAGTACACATAAACTCGCATGTATGCGCCTTGTCTACCTCTAACGACATGCCGTGCACAAGGTGCTTTGCAGTCAAAGCAATCGAATTCGAAGCTCAAATTCATAAGATGAAGGAATGCTTTTGTTTGTATGCATCTATATATAGGGTTTGGCACCACTGGTAAGGCGCGACCATTGTCCCCGGGAGATCCCGGGATCGATACCCATTTGGGTCAAAGCCCTTCCGATGGTGGAAGGCATTGCGCCCCTAGTTGATGGACGGTGGTGACCTTGGATAATGTTAATCTGCGAGCTGATCATGAATGGAGTTGGGCCGCTGTCGACCCGGCAGATTCTGTTGGATGCTGGTGGTGGGTGCGGAACCTGAGCGATCCACTGAGAAGTTGGCAAGGGGGTGACTGGATGAGGGTGCCCCGAAAGATACCGGGGAAGGCAGGGCTTCGCAGGGTAGCTGCCACGGGCGAAGATACACCCACCTGTTTCACACATCTATAACTGCCAACGGCTCTTGACGATTTTTCCCATCGAATGAATCCGCGTTTGCATGATGCAGATACTCCACCGCCAGTGCAGTGCATGCGAACTCTATATAGTAAGGCCGGCAACTGTGCAACAGTGCCCACCAACCTGAGTTTCTTGGCCAGCGGCTACTCGCACGTCGACTACCGTGTTGTGTACACCTATGCGGATGGCACCCGCTCCCCTCCCGGCACCTGGGCCATGTCGCTCCTAGAGTGCCCGTATTGTGCACCCTGGGTGTACGTGGAGTTCTCTTCACCCATCGCGACACTGTTGGCTGGTGGGCCGCCTGGCAAGCCCCGCACTGGCATTATGCTTCAGCGGTCTGGCGCCGTCACATGTGATGGCTCTCCTCCGGCTAACCGGGATACAAACAACGCCTACATTGACATCGTCCGTCTTGACAGCATGGAGGATTACTGGGATGAACCAATGCTTCAGGGCTGCCAGAAGGTCTCCAACAGTAGCGTCAAGTGTTTAGATTTAGTGTGGGTGGACCACCCACCCGCGCCACCTGTGTCTGCGTGGCGCTGGTCAGGCGGCAGCACTGCTCCCACGCCAATTTACTCATCCCTTGGCAACTCTACACCGGCCCTGGCCTTGAATGGTGTAGGCGGATTTAATGTGAGGTACTCCTTATTGTACGAATTCAGTTCCGGGTACCGCAGCATGCCGTCACCGAACATGCTGTGGGCTGCACATGCCAGCAAGTCACGGCCCTCCGTCTTCGTGGAATTCTCTGTGCCGTTGTCGCTGGGCCAGGGTGACAGTGTGGTGCTGCAGCGCTATGAAGAGGAATGGGGACTGGTTGATGTGGACCGTATAGGGAGCGCACAAGCCAATGGCACGTCCTGGCTGTCGTTCACGGACTCGTTACCACCATTCTTTGGACCTTAGGCATGCAGGTCCTCAGATATGTATGTGGCCAGAGATAGCGGATAGCCACGTTGTTAGCGAGATGCCTGGTCAGCAAGAGCGAGTGACAGGGCCTCCGTCTGCCTTCATACTGGCACTGAACCTGGTGGCCCCGTCATACAACCAAAATCGTCATGTTAATGTCTCAAATCGCGCCCAGACCTGCATGCCTCCGGTTAACATGCTGATTAGTTATAATGTTTACTGTAAGGCAAGTGTGGCTGGTGTCTGTCCGGGGGATTTTCAACAGTGTGCTTGGGGTGGGGTGGGGTCCTAGCCACCACCGGTGCCACGGAGTATGGCCGCAGATTTATGGCGGCAGCTATGCGAGTGGGTGCATCCCGACGTCCGGGACCAATTTTCGTTGAAGAGGCTATCTGGGTACGAATTGCGTTGTCTCTGAGTCTGCCTTCAAAAGATTGCGTATTCAGGTGTCGGTCCTAGACACCCCATATATTTCATGTTTAGATAATAGTTATTTTTGCTTCATCATAATGTTTTACTAATTGGGTGCCTTGGGCTTGCGTGTGTCCTCGTCTTCAGCCGCGGCTTGCAGTTTTGCCCTGAGAGTTGCCTCTCTCGGAAACCAATGCCTTCTGCCGCTTCATGGGGGACTTACACGCTACTTCCCTCTGGACTGGTGGCTATAGACTGCTGAGTCATCCCATACAGAATTTCTCAAGCTTCGGCGTGAGCCGTATTGCTGTTCAAGGTGTGCGTTTTCGTGTTAGGTATTGCTCAGTTCAGTTCTTTCCATGTGGGCCTCGCCCCGCGCGTCTCCTTGCTGCCTCGTTGCCACTCCTAACCAAAACAACTTGTCCTTGTGTTGCCGAGTGGTTCCATATACTATGTCTTAGCTGCTCTCCAAATAAGCACCCACGCTGGCAGCATGCTTCCTTGTGCTGTATTCGTAATTACGAATGTTATAACAGGCTGTTATAACTGGCTGCTTTGTCCGTTGCTTGGTTCCGTGAGTGGATGGGGTTTCCTGGCAGGCTGAGTAGGAAGATGTGGGTAACAGTGTGGGCCGCTGGGAATAGTCCGGAGAAACGTCATGGTAAAGGGGTTACAATAGCCAGAGGACTAAACGGGATTCCTGGGGCCCTAACATGAGCCGACGTGAAATGTCTCGACACAATGCTGATGCAAACCAAAGGACGCTTGAGATGCCTGTCGATGAGCAGCGGACATCATCAGCACACACTCAAGACCAGGTGCCGGGATAGGGGCATTTGAGAGGACAGCGTCAAGCTCAACCCACGCCGGAGTTGTATATGTGTGACATGGTCGTGAGATGCGTTCCTTGTACCTGCAAACCGCGCCCAACACGAGCCGAGGCCTCAAAGGCTGCCAAATCCCCTATAAGCACCGTCCTACCTCGCACTTCAGACAGACAAGCAAGTGATGAAGGAGACTAACGTCCAAAGGGAACGACAGAGTGCACACATGGTGCATGTGCGCCACTACTGTAGCAGCTGGCCGCTGAAAAGGCCTCTCGAGATGCTGGTGGTCGCGCTATGCGCGTATTTATAGCGCCGTACTGTGTACCGGCTGCTACAACTACCCACCCAAATAGCTAGCAGCGAAATCAGCGCAGACCTCAAATCCCCGCCGGCACCTTTTTGTTCCAATTGTAACCTCGGCAAAGTACGTGCATACGGGAGACTCTTTCCTTTTTCCGGTGACTATCCTTAAAGGGTAAACAAAATCCGAAGGATGGGAACTGCCCTTTGCTTGGCTTAGTTTACAGATGTGTACGGCACGCCATATATACGGCACAGTACTCCCGGGTGGGACCACTCGCCAAGTAAATTAGGTTTTAGAGCACGTCGGAGCGTACTTGGGACAAGAAGGTGCGCTTTGTGTGTTGGGAGGGTGGGTGTTACAGTGGGCTCCAGACTCACAAAGAGTAGAGCCAACGGGCCAGCGGGCCGTGCACTGCGCCTGAGACGATAAGAGCAAACACGACACCCACCCAGACCAGACAACGCAAGTCACCTCAACAGCAGCAAGCGAACCCAAACAGAATCCCATCCTTTCCGTGGAACTCCCAGAGCTGCCATATACCGCATCCCGTGCTCAATAGCTAACACCGCAGCAGCAAGAGCCACAACATCCCATAAGCATTGTTGCTGCACTGTTTGTGCACACACATAGACCAAAATCTTAAAATGGAGCCTGCAATCTTGGGGCGCCTGCAGCCCTGGGGTAACCCTTTAATTAGCCAGTTGCTCGATGCTGTCAAAACTCACTGCACGCTTAGGCTGCCCGCCTAAACGGACGCTAATTACAGGAAACCATTCCCAGGCCCGTACCCGTGCTAACAGTCAAAACAAGAATCCGTTCAAGCGAGGCCGACGAACCCAAAGGCAAGTGTGTGGCAGGTCGGTGACATACCTTCCGCGTCACGTATCATGCATGGCACTTACCTGGGTCGCTCCTTGCACGCAGGTGGCGATGGAGGCCTTAGCGGCATATTCAATCAATTCATCTCCCTCAAGGTAGGATCCGCTGAGGCGCACACGCGAAAATCCAAGTGGTGCGGCACGCAGTGGCTCCGTATCCTTACCGGCATAATCCCGTGAACATGCTGCCTGACAGTGCCACGCGCCCATTGCCGCCAAAGTCCCTTTTATCCCCTTTTTCGCTCTCGCTCAAACCGGTTCTCCCCCTCTTCTCCTCAGGGGATCAAGTCGCCTGCGGCTGCGGTGCAGCAGCTGAACCCATGTACGGTGGGGAAAGATTGCAGTACGGCAATATTGCATGCGAACCACTGTTGGTTCTTTTACCATGATCAAATGCATTCTGTTGTTAGACTGGATGTTGGGAAGTTGACCTATAAGCTACCACGAGCAGGGATGGTCCCCTTGTGCAGTTGTAGCCGGTGATGGCTGGAGCGAGCTCTTCCCCCCTCAAACCTCTCCCGTTCCCGACTCCCCCACCTCCTCCTCCCCAGCCCGCCTCTCCCGTCCCTCTCAACCTTCTTCCCTGCTCCCTTCCGCTGTCCCTTCCCCTTCCCCGCCGCATGTCAGCCCCGTTGCTGCCTCCAAAGGCGGCTCTGGAGCAGGCGATGACGATGCTGCAGGTGCGGGCCCCCTCCGGGTTCCCGTATGCGGGTTGACGTGTCCGCGCGTCCTGAGGCGTTCTTGGACGGCGGTGGTGTTGGGCACTTGAGGAAGTGTGAGGGCGCCAAGCACGGCGGTAGCCAGCCACATAGTAGCCACCTGCAATGGTGGGCAGGATGAGGAAGGGGACGAGGAGGTGGATGGGGAGGCAGACGGTGAGTGGGTGGAAGATGATCATGCTGAGGCGGCTGGGGAAGGGATGCAGGGGGCCTGGAAGTACTGACAGCTAGCAATGTTCAGGAGTGGGTATGTTGCTGGGCGTGTGGCATATGCAGTTGTGGAGACGTTTTCCAGGGGTTGGGTGAAGTTTGAAGAGGGAGACAGCGTGTGTGTCCAATTCCAGATGGGAATAATGGTCAGCCCCGGTGCACGGGCATGCCATGTTGTACTGCTCGTTGATATGCGGCGCATACCATGTGGGACAGGACAGTGCTACTTATCCGTTTGCATGTCACTCCGCGAGTTAGCATTCAGGTTCAAGCCTTTTTGCCCTTTCCGTTTTGTTGTGGCCTTGTGTGCTCCGCATGTGCGGCATGTTTTGCAGGCGCTCTCCTGCACAGTAGTTGCAACGGACCAGAAAACATCTCCGTAGAAATGCCGTCCAAAACTTTTGGCTTTGCTGTGTTACACAATACTATGTTCTTCCTTGCTTCGCTTTGAGTTGGGGTGCAGATGTACGGTGCTGGGTTTCTGTTGAGCATTTGCTACCAGCAGTACGTTTTTTGACATACGGATATATGGTGATGATCGTGAGCACGTCCCCTAAGACATTGTGTGGGAGGTGTCATGGGTATAAGGAGCAGGTTGAACGTGAGGGGCCCAACTCGCGCTCTGGCACGCGGCTGCACACGCACACCCACGTGCGAATACCGTTGGTCGGGTCACAGAGCGAAACTGCAGTGCCTGTGTAACTTCATTATCTTGTTTTCATACTCGCGATCCACAAGTTCTCGCAACTTCCCGCGGTCCGAACGCATTTTATAGAAAGACGTTGGGCGTTGCACCAAAATATTTTTAACATTACCCAGGATTATGTAGACCTCAAATCCAATGCAAATCTGCTACATGTGACATGCTCTGGTGCTTCATGTTTGACCACAGGCCGCGTCATAGAACTGCAAGAATACGGCCCGCCTGCAGGCCCGAATGCACTGTAATATTACAGAATTATAGACCTTTCAAAAACATGCTAACAGATTTCTAAAATACTACACCATCAAGGAAATCGCCTCCTCCTAGTAAAAGGCAAATAGGGCCGGCAAGGAGCTCACCGAATGGATGGAACAGAAAAAAATGGGATTCAAAGATGCTAATCCCCTTATTTTAATTTGCAGTTTTTATTTGAGGTTAAACAAATCATTCATTTTCCAAGTGGGTCGTTTAAGGTTTTCGGAGCTGCTAACTAGCATTAGTCGCACGACTTATTGTTACATGCTTTATGAATGCAATGCGGAACCGTCTTCCTACAGCATGGTGTGCAAAACGGTAACTCCAAAACTACTGTTTGTGTGCTGTCCATTTTGGGGTACATAAGGCCTATCGGGCAGCTGTTGCACAAAGACTAGCCAGGCGCCCATTGACCCAATAGCTTACATTCCTCCAATTTGTTTGGCTGATACGCCTTATAGAAATGGCGTCTCTCCGTTGTGCAGTTTTGGCGCTCGCGGTGTGCCTTTCGGCAAGCTGTCTTGCACAGGAGTATAAAACACTGTATAAGAGCTTTAAGGAAATTCCAGACGTCTCAAAAGCGGACGATGGACAGCGATTTCTTATGGTGGGCGAAGGCGCCGAGGCGACACGGTACCTCGTTGTCAAGGACTCAGAAACTAAGAACGTGTACTTCATCAACGAGAATACCAAGGAGCCTCAATGGCATGACCCTCGAATTGCAGGTGGGCACGTTCGTTTGTCCAACCGGAATGCATCCTGATCTAGTGGTCAACAAGGTTCAGTTTCCTTATGTTTCTTGCAGTCCCATCAGAGGAGCCACAGACGATGGATATCAAGATTCCTATCGACCCACCCAAGCCGAAGGGCAGTAGCCTGACCGTGGCTGTCGTGGCCATGCTTCCCATCCTCCTGTTTGCCGGGGGTACTGCTGCTCGCGTCGCGTACCTTCAGGTATGGAAACTATGTGGACACGATAGCCGGACGGCATCGTTGCAGACTGCTGTAGGTGGTCAGTCAATCGGCATGTCCCTGCTAAGCTTAACTGCCAGGCCTTGAGCACAAACTTGGAGATCCTCAGAAAACTTTTGGTGTCCATCATGATTGCAATCTGTGCTGTATTTTGTGCCCGTGCACAAACAGATGTACTACCCAGAGCTGCTGTGGCCCACGAAGGAGAGGAAGGACCGCCGCAAGGCCGCTGGCGGCAAGGTGAAGCCGCAGAAGCAGCGTGGAAAGATGAACCAGGACGGCAAGGGCGGTCGCTCAGCCAACTCTTAAAAGTCGGTCGGCCCAGCGTCGCTTAGCGTGACTTAACGCGGGCAGGGCGTGTGATGGAGTGGATGGACTGGCGCTTCCCTCCGCGCCCCAGCCCGCCTTCAAATGGGCCTCCGTGATTTTGTTTATGTTACCTTACTTCGTGAGCATAACCTTCCAAGACTAGCCGCGCACTTGACTGCGACAAGGTGGGCATTATGTGGGGGTTGAACTCCGAGGCAGCCGTTTGGCGCCGCTCTGTGACTCAGTTGTGGAGACAACGCTATGGCGGCAGCGACCCCGCTTTATATTTGCGGCGTGACAGTTCCGCAGTTGGCCCACGTGGCAGGATGTGTGCATATATGTGTGTATGCGAGTTTATTGGTTTTGGGTCGGGAGCCGCAAGTGATGTGTTAAGTGCCATATCCGCGAGCCGGAGTGTCAGAGTGGTTTATAAGAGTGCTGAGAAGCGCTTGGTGGTATGGCTTGGAAGCTGACGACGACCGTGCCGTAGAGATGATGGAGGGTGCACGCAGCCTGCCTGAGGTTGCACGTCTTGCTGGAGCTAAGGGACACATGCACTTGCTTGGTGCCTTCGGGGTGTGATCAATGGATTGCGGTGGGCCTGTTACGGCCGGGCTAAGCAACATACATGACCAAAGAAGACAAATGGCAAAGAGGGAGATTATATTTTACCCTTTGACCCAAATCAAGACTTTTACATAGCGGCAGTCGGAACGGACAAACGGCAAACAACGGTGGCATGCTGTTGGTGAGGCGCGTCACCCTAGACCGATCGGGGACGGGTAACGATGGATTTCATTTTAATGTGCACTTGGGAGAGCACGAGTTTTGTATCTGCTGTTATGAGGAGGCGCTGGCGCTCAGGAGACTGGGCTCTCACCTCGGCGCTGTGGAAGTCTGTCTCGGACTGCTATGGCGGTGCCGGTGCCGTACAGAGGTGCCGGTGCCGTACGGAGGATGGCGGTGTAATAGCGCCGCGGAGGGCGATAGTTGCTGTATATTATCACCCACCATAACCATGTGCCTGTGACAATGACAGTTCAGGGGGGGGCCGGGGAGCGGGAAGCAAAACACACCCATGTTGTAACTTGGATGTGCTACTGCCAGTGTGTAAGGGCCTTATCACGTGATGCACACGAAATGCCGCGATGAAGAAGCTTTCCGACCGTACAACCCATCGGATTGTCGCACACAGGATTGTAGGAAGGTCGTTCTTAATCCCATATAGGTTGTTTGGACTGCAGCCGGCGACTGCGACCTGCCTTCTCTCTCACCTCCCTCGTCACCTCCCAGCGGGGTCGGGCCCCGGGTGGGTGCGCCTCATCCCATCCGACCACCGGAGGGTCCGAGAGGCAAATGGAGGGACCCCTGCGTGTGTGTTGAGATGGTGGTGGTGGTGGTGGTGCATCCACTGGCTCGGCGAGGCGGGCTGTGCGCGATACGGCGCCCTAGCGGCCTCTTGCGGGTTGTGGAGCCGTTGTCGATAACTGGGTCTGTTGCTATCCACCCCTCTGGTTCCCCCCCGGTCGCCCCGGACGTGTGGGAGTGCTTTTCGCTGCGATACCCCTCATCAGCTCAATTTCAAGACGTCGCCTCATGAGGGTCACATGTATAATGAATAAACATTTTATACTCTAATCGGGATTGTGAAAATATGTTGTTGTTGTTGTTACATGGTCGTGGGTGCGTTCCCCGTACCTGCAAACCACCCTAATACGAGCCGAGGGCTCAAGGGCTGCCAGATCGCCTATAAGCACCATCCTACCTCGCACTTCCAACGAAACAAGTGGTGAAGGATACTAACGACCAGAGGGAACGATAGAGTTGCGGTGGGACTATATACGTTCCAGCATCCTTGCCAGGCGTTCAGGTTCCCACTTCATAGCGTCCTTCATGTGCTCGAGGCGTGGGAAATCCATATCAGATCTGATTTTGTCGTACACCGGACAGTCCAGCAAAATGTGCTTCTCATCCTCGATATGGCTATGAGTGCCGCAGCAAGGGCATACTCGCTCCTCCCTAGGTATATAACGCCGTCCCTTACGTGCTCTGTTAGCCGCCAGTGCCCAACAGCAAAGCCTAAACTGCATAAGCTTGCGATTCGCCGAACGCGGGATAAACATTGTGATATGCGGGAGCACCTCCTTCCTGCCCGCTTGTTCGGCCGCCAGACCCATCCAATGCTGATACTTCGCCATGTGAATTCCTGGTTGCTTGCCGTTGTATAAATATGTGTAATGTGTAAGCCCGCCGAATGTTCATTGGTTCGCCTGTCTCTCTGTCTGTCAGTCTGTCTGCCAGTCTCATGTACCACAACACTCCGCATCGCAGCGATAATAAAAAGAACAGACCCCGCTCCAAAGTCTCCTCATAGTTTCAGGCGTCAATTTTGCAGCTACACTCCTTCATGCCAAATTCCCACGTACCAATACCGACCTACACACATACATACATACCAGGTTAGGCACTACTGATAATGCGCGACCCACGGGAGGTTCCGGGATCGAAAATCCTCCCGATGGTGGAAGGTAAAGTGCCTCTAGTCGATGGACGGTGGTGACCTGGGATAAAGTTGACTCGCGAGCCGATCAGGAATGGAGTTGAGCCGCCGTGTTGATCCGGTAGATTCCGTTGGATGCTGGTGGTGGGTGCGGAACCTCAGCGATCCACTGAGAAGTTGGCTAGGGTGGCTGGATGAGGGTGCCCCGAAATACCGGGGAAGGCAGGGTTTCGCCGGGTAGCGGCCACGGGTGAAGATATAACCCCCTGTTTCACACATACGTACATACGCATTCACACGCCGCCAAGACCGCGCCCGGAAGCAACCAACGCTGCTCGGCTTCAATCAAAAATCCAGCCGAAAGAGAGTCTTTAACGAATAAACCTAAAAGCGTTTACGACCATTTTAACCGCCAACTGCCAACCGTCATCATCCCAACGGCGGCCCCAGCTTGCTCCGAGCCTCTAGTAACGCTCTCGCCAGCTTGCCGCCGCCTCCATCCCCACGCATAGCAACGTGCATCCATTCGAACATTTCGATGACAAAGCGTGTCACTGCCGCCTGCACCCATTGCGGCACCGCGGCCAGCCACGCGCCGTACGGTTCATGCGACGCCACGACCTCCGCCAGTGATGCCGTTGTGGGACCGCCGCCGCCGCCGCCGCCAGTGATTGACGTCGTTGATGCCTTCGCAGCGGCAGCGGATTTCTTGCCGCTGCCGCCGCGTTTCGGCTCGCTCCCGCAGTTCATAGTGGCGGCGGCGGCGGCGGCGGCGACTGACGGCACCGACGCGGCCGGCCCTGATGACACCGTCATCACTGCCAGCCCGGCGGCGGCGGCAGCACCGCGCCGCGCCGCCAGTGTCGCCGCCACCCGCTGTGACACCCATGCGTCCTGTACGAGCGGCAACAGCGGGCAGGAAAAGCCGAATGACAGGTCTCCCACGGCCCGATCCACCGCCGACTCGACGGTACGCGCCAGGCGCTCCTCCCAAACCGGCGGCGGCGGCGCCTCCGCCGCAGCTGCCGCTGCAGCGCCCGCGGCCTCCGCTTCCGCCGCCGCCCGATGCGTCGCCTGCGCAATGGCGTCCAGATTCTCATTTGCGACGAGCGCTCGGACCCATGGGTCATTGTACAGCATCAGTAGGGTCGTCGGAAGCCACGTCAGCAGCGGCAGCTGATCGTCGAGATCCCCAACCCCCGGGCCCAATCCGCGCAGTGTGCTGGCAAACACCTCCGCCAGCAGCCGCCATCGGCAATTGGAGGATGCGGCGGCGGCGGCGGCGGCACTCGGTGTGTGTGGCGGCCGGCGGCTGGAGGACTGCCCGCTGCCGCTGCCGTACGGGTGCCGTGTCGACGACTTATGGTCCGTACCCGGGGAGGCGGCAGCAGCCGGGGCGGTTCTGGCGGCGGCAAAACACTCCACGCGTAGGATGGCGGAGGCGATTCGTACGGCAGCTGAGGCGTAGTTTGAGTCCCAGAACCGCCTGACGCCGAAAGATATGATGAGATGATACCAGAGGGGTTGGGGTGGAGTACGGCGGGTACGGCGGGTGCGGAGGAATTAGAATTGTATGTATATGTGTATATGTATATGGTAATGTGCATATTGTAATAGTAAAATACTGGTCACATTGACCGCCCACGGGGCCTCCATCCCTCAGGCTTTTACGGACTTCAATCCACTTCTAGCGACCCTCCTCGTACGGCATGAGACCCTAATCTCCCGCCACCACGCACTTTCCCCCCTCAACCCCTCTGGCCCCTGGGGGAGTCCGACCCACCCACCAACCCATACATACATACATGCATACATACATAGATACAGTCAAACATACATACATACACATATACGTCCGCCCTATAAAGTCTACACACATCCAAATACCTTTTCCTTCCTCACCCCCACATCCCGACCGCACTCGATCAATCCAATTCTCACTTTGCAATGCTCCGAAACCTGTCCTCCCCCCAGTGCTCGGACCAAAGACTGAAGGCCCAAGGCAGTCGTACTATGCTGTTTAGTACCTCGTACGGCAAGTCCTGTTCGGAAGGCCAGTCGGGGTTATGCAGCAGGAACTGCGTCGGCGGCGGCGGCTGAGCTGTAGTAGCAGCAGCAGCAGTAGCAGGTAGAGAAGGATGGCAGGGTTGCCGTTGCTGTGGCTGTGGCTTCTGCGGGGTCGGCGTCGGCGTCGACGGGGATGACGGTGAGCGCTGGTGGGGCGACGGAGGTGGCGCGGCGGCGGCGGCGTCGGCGTCGGCGTCTGAGACTGCAGGGCCACCATCGCCACTGATTTCGCCCTCTCCGCCTCCGCCACCACTTTTTCCGCCCTTGTTTTGAACTCCGCCTACCACACAGCTACTACTGCTACTGCTACTGCTGCACCGTCCGCTGCAACTGCCGCCGTTGGTCGTACATGTGCCGCCGGCGTCACTGCTGATACCGTTCGACGGCGGCTGCTTCGTACTGCTGGCGGCTGCTGCTGCTGCGCTGATCGCGGCAGCGTTGCAACTGTTGCTACTGCTGCTACTGCCCCGGGAGGCGGTGGTGGTGGCAGTAGTGGCGGGGAAGCGAATGGACGGCGGGTCCAGTCTATCCGCCAAAGCCTGAGGTACATGCCGGTGTGAGATGGAGGGGGGGGGTTGAGGAGGGGAGGGGGGGAGGGGTTGAGGAGGGGGGGGGAAGGGATTCTAGAAGGCAGGATCAACCGCCTTGGACTTGCAGTCCGTACGGCAGTGTAGTACAGTGTGGTAACGGTGGATGGTGCTGTGTGGTGTGATAAATCGTAGAATTGACAATGTGTTCAAGTGGCCCAGAAGCCTCCCACTCCGTAACATGACATGACATTAAATGACATATACACCTACACACGCCATTGGCATTGCCCTTATCGCGGCTCAGATCATTAAAATACACACACACACACACACACACACACACGCACGCACATTCCTTCATTTCCCCCCCTTCCCCCCGCTACACCTCACTCACGAGAGCGGGAGCCGCCACGAAACACGTCATCTGGGGCCGCTCCAACATCGTGTGGAATGCGTGTGGAAACGTCAACAACAAGTACGGAATGTACGGACATGCTGCGGAATTGGACGGGAAGAGGAAAGTGAGGAGGCAAAAAACACCAGCAGGGCCCAGCACGTACGTACGTATGTATGTATGTGTGGGGAGGGTTACGTGTGTGGGGTGTGTGGGTGGTAGGGGGACCTTTTTCGGGTTGGGGTTTTCCTGAATGGAAGTGAAAAAGCCGGGCCGTACCTAGGGTTTAGCAAAAATCCAAAATAAACTAAATTGAGTTCATGACACGATCCTGTTCCTGCACGTCCTAAGCGCTTGGGGACGCTTTGAAAGGTATACCTCTCTAGCCTCTACCTCCCTTTTCCCTCTCTCCCCCCTTCCCTTCCCCTTTCCCTCCCCCCTCTC